GGGGGGGGGGGGGGGGAAGTGCTTATTTTTAACAAGTGTGAATACTTCTGTTGTGTATGTCTTTGTACTCACCTCAGAAGCTAATTTGACTTTAGGAAAATTAAATATTGTTGTAGATATCTTCCATTTTTCTGATTTTATTTATTATTTTCATTAATCTGAGAGAGAGGAAGGGTGGAGGAGAGAGACAGGGAGAGAGAGAGAAACATAGATGTGAGAGAAACATTGAGCGGACAGTTGCCTCTGACTGGAGATTGGAGATCAAACCCACAACTTGGGCATGTGGCCTGATCAGGAATCGAACCCACTACCTTCTGGTGTGTGGTATGATGCTCCAATCAACTGAACCATATCAGCCAGGGCCATTTTTATGGTTTTATAGCATTCCTCCCTTGGCACCTGTCTTTCCCCCAGTACATGAGTGTTTGAGGAAGATAATTAAATCCAACTATCTGTGGGAGGGATTTAGAAATTGGTTAGGAGGGGACTTCTGAATTTTAATTAACTCTGTATTGATGAACTTTTAACTTTTCTGCTAAAAGAAAAAGAAAACCAGCCAACAAAGCAGTAATAATGGGGGGATCGCAAGGTGCTTAGGACTTTTAAACCAGTCTCTTAAGTCATCAGGGGTCAAAGGGGAAATCAAAAACAACACACTATATAGGAAGCAGGAGGATGAGAACATCCTTATCACAATCTTTGGGATGTACTCAGAGGTAAGTGCACATTCTCACATGTTTTTATGAGAGACTGAAAAGAAATTCTTTTTGACTCTAAAGAGAGAGAGGAAGGGAGAGAGAGGAAGCATCGATTTGTTGTTCCACTTATTTATGTAGTCATTGGTTGCATCTTGTATGTGCCCTGACTGGAGATCGAACCCACAACATTGGTGTTTGGGGATGATACTCTAACCAACTGAGCTACCCGGCCGGGGTCTGTGGGACACTTTATCAACAAGTGAAACTTCATGCAATTTTGACATTTCACTTTCAGTATTACACCTACAAACCAGTGTGATTTGAATGATGTGTGAGACCAATAAAAGGAAGGTTCTAGGTAGTACTATCTAGTAGAAATAGAACGTGGGCCACAAATGCAAATCACGTGGGTAGTTTTAAATTTTCTGCCAGTCCCATTTTTTAAAGTTTTTTTTATAGGTGCAATCAATGTTAATATCTCATTAACTCAATATATCCCAAAGGTTATCATTCTTGCATACTAGAGGCCCAGTGCCTGAAATGTTTGCATGGATAGGGTCCCCCTAGGCCTGGCCAGTGATCAGGGCTGATCAGGTTCCCCACCTCCTTGCCTTCCCTCCTTCCCTCATTCCCTCAATGCCCCACCATGCCGGTTGCCCACCATGTTCTGCACTGCCCCCTCATGGTCAGCACACATCATAGCGAGCGATCGAACTCTCAGTCTCCTGACCAAACTCCCAAAGGGACACTTTGAATATTAGCCTTTTATATATATAGACTAGAGGCCCAATTCGTGCAAGAGCTGGCCTTCCCAGCCTGGGCTGCCTTGCGGCCCGGTGGCCCCACCCGCCCCCCGCCCCCGCCCCCCGACTGGTCGTTCCGGAAGGTCGTTCCAGAAGGTTATTCTGCCGTCTGGTCTAATTAGCATATTAGCTCTTTATTATATAGAATAAGCAATATAAAAAATACTGATATTTCCTGTTTTGTTTTTGTACTGTCACTGAAATCCAGTGTTTTCTGTACTCATAGTACAACACAATTCCAACTCTCCACCTTTCAAGCCCCCCGTAGCTGTATCTGACTAGGACAGCGGTTCTCAACCTGTGGGTCGTGACCCCTTTGGGGGTTGAACGACCCTTTCACAGGGGTTGCCTAAGACCATCAGAAAACACAGATATAATTACATATTGTTTTTGTGATTAATCACTATGCTTTAATTAT